TATTATTGACTTATTTAAATTCAAACTTCATTATAGCTACTTGTATAAGCTCTTACTTAGATTTCTTTGTGTTTGTGGCGCCACCTGCAGGTGAAAGCCATATCCTTACAGACCTCTTAAGCTATGCAGGGCAAGTCCTGGTTAGTACTGTGATGGGAACACCAAGTGCCACAGTGGGGCAGCTGCGGCTGTAAAGTGCTAAACAGTGGTTGTTTTTTTTTTGGCAAGACACATCCCTCGCATCAGAATGAGTCTGGTGTGTGTGTGTGAGTGGTTGTTGGGCCGATGGCACATACTGGTTGTCTCGCTTCTGTCAGTGTGCCCCAGGGCAGCTGTGGCTACAGTAGTGGTTTATATCCACCGTGTTTGGAGTGAATGTATAAGGACATGTGAAGTGTCTTTGAGTGTCCAAAAAAGTGCTATATTTCTGCATCTGTATTAGCTCTGCATACAACTGAGCACATTTTCATGTACTGTCAATATTTATGACTTTGATGCTACCTCATTTTGTTCAGCACTTTGAGTTGCCTTGTACGGAAGCTTGTTAGGGTCACTTGTGAGTGTATTTTTTTTTCACTGGCATCATGTTGTTTTATGATAATTTCATGTTAGTACAAGATACAGATCATGTTATTTCATGAAATACAACTATCATGTTATTTCGTGATACCAATTTATTTTTAAATAACAAGATACTGTAGATACAAGAAGTTGTAGACTTTGTAAAACTATCCATCCATCCATCCATCCATTTTCTTCCGCTTTATCCGTTGCCGGGTCGCGGGGGCAGCAGTCTAAGCAGAGACGCCCAGACTTCCCTATCCACACACACCTCCTCCAGCTCGTCCGGGGGGACCCCAAGGCGTTCCCAGGCCAGCTGAGAGACATAGTCTCTCCAGCGTGTCCTGGGTCTTCCCCGGGGCCTCCTCCCAGTGGGACGTGCCCGGAACACCTCCCCAGGAAGGCGTCCAGGAGGCCTCCTGAACAGATGCCCGAGCCACCTCAACTGGTTCCTCTCGACGTGGAGAAGCAGCGGCTCTACTCCGAGCTCCTCCCGTGTGACCGAGCTCCTCACCCTATCTCTAAGGGAGCGCCCAGCCACGCTGCGGAGGAAGCTCATTTCGACCGCTTGTATCCGCGATCTCGTTCTTTCGGTCATTACCCACAGCTCATGACCATAGGTGAGGGAGGGAACGAAGATTGACCGGTAAATCGAGAGCTTCGCCTTTCGGCTCAGCTCCCTCTTTACCACAACGGTCCAATACAGAGACCGCATCACTGCGCACGCTGCACCGATCCGCCTGTCAATCTCACGCTCCATCCTCCCCTCACTCGTGAACAAGACCCCGAGATACTTGAACTCCTCCACTTGAGGAAGGACCTCTCCACCCACCTGGAGAGGGCAAGGCACCTTTTTCCGGTCGAGCACCATGGCCTCGGATTTGGAGGTGCTGATTCTCATCCCAGCCACTTCACACTCGGCTGCAAACCGTCCCAGTGCATGCTGCAGGTCCTGGTTCGTTGGAGCCAGCAGGACGACATCATCCGCAAAAAGTAGAGATGAAATCCTGTGGTTCCCGAACCGGACCCCCAGCGGCCCCTGGCTGCGCCTAGAAATTCTGTCCATAAATACAGTGAACAGAACCGGTGACAAAGGGCAGCCTTGGCGGAGGCCAACATGCACCGGGAACAGGTCTGACTTACTGCCGGCAATGCGAACACAGCTAACTTTTAATTTGTAAAACTAATGCATTGTTATTTCATTTTTTTTCCAGATCATTGATTTGGTAATGGGACTGTATGTAACATGGATTCTTAGGTCTGGTTTGCTTTGTTCAGGGTCACTTGCGACCACAGGAGGCACGGTGGCTGAGTGGATAGCACTCTCGCCTCTCAGCAAGAAGGTCCTGGGTTCGAATCCCGGTCGGACCAGGGCCTTTCTGAGTGGAGTTTGCATGTTCTCCCCGTGTCTGCGTAGGTTTCCTCCGGGTACTCCGGTTTCCCCTACCACTAAAAATATGTCCAATAGTTCTAGCATGCGCCTCCTGTACTGGCGACCCCGCTCCCATCTCTGTGTGGAGTGAGAGACAAATGCCCAAAAAAATTAACAATTGTAAACCGCTTTGCTCAGATCTGCAGTGAAAAGGCGGTATATAAATAAAGATTACTTTGAGTTTCCCGTTAATGAAAAGAGTTCAGGTTCAGTTGCGTCTGTCACCGCGGTAACATGCTCCACTCGGCAACTCTGATCTGAAGCATGGAAACCTTCATTCAGAGGAGCAGAAACCAGAGAGGGCCAATCATGTGTGCGATATTTCATACATTGACCCAATTTAAAGCTCTATTGTCAGCCACGCTTCCATTCGAAGGTGTCTGGTTGACATTGAGGCACAAATAATATAAAGTGTTAAGACGAGCGTGTTATTAGGAATCACCAAGGTCCACTTTCATGCGTCGGTTTTCCGCTGTTGGAATTTGTTGCCAGTACTAACTCACAAGA